AGTAATGTTCTCGTAATCAAAGCTCAAACATGAAATCTTCGTCAACAAATTTGGATCCAGCACTACAAACTATCATGGTAGATGAGCAATTCCCCTAACCGGTTATAATTACTGATTAAACACAAGTCATGTTATTTTAAAATTTGGGGTTCAGGTGGTTTGGCCAGCACAGCACATGTATAGAACCCCGAGCAAGACTAGACTTGTAATCTGGAGACAACAGCCCAGCAAGACGAGACTTGTAATCTGGAGACGGCAGCCCAGCAAGACGAGACTTGTAATCTGGAGACGGCAGCCCAGCAAGACGAGACTTGTAATCTGGAGACAGCAGCCCAGCAAGACGAGACTTGTAATCTGGAGACAGCAGCCCAGCAAGACAAGACTTGTAATCTGGAGACAGCAGCCCAGCAAGACGAGACTTGTAATCTGGAGACAACAGCCCAGCAAGACGAGACTTGTAATCTGGAGACAGCAGCCCAGCTAGGGGAGACTTGTAATCTGGAGACAGCAGCCCAGCTAGGGGAGAAAACTCCGAAATCAGGCAGAAGTGATGCCCATTAAAGGAACGGAATATCATCTCGTGTTTACTTTCGGCAGCTCCTACGACCCAGCTGAAGCCAAGTTGTATGGGTAACCTAACCTTTGGGGCTATAAGCTGTGTGGAGATAGGGGTCGGATAACTGGGCAATATTTGGCTTTCCTCAACTTGCTGACTTGGACTTACGTCGTGATTTGCAAGGCGCAATTATCTATTCCTCTATCAGACTATGAAACCATGTATTTATTTATTTATCTTCAGTTGAAGGTACAGCATATTCCAAAACATGCTTATATATAGTTATGTCTGGGGACGAATTAATTCATGCTTCGTGCTTTCCATAGTCACGTTATAAAATGCCAAACACTGAGCAAGCAAAAGAACAAAGTTTATTTCACACAAAAATGTGCTAACACTAGACTGACCTTGATCTTTGATCATAGCACTAACCATAACATTACCAAACAACTAGGGTTACGAGTAACATTATGAATAAGGTCAACTTAAGACCCATTATCAAATTATCAATTCGTGATGGTAATCTGACTCGAAATTGGGAAATTATTTATCGTAATTAATCAACTACATGTCTCTTTTATCTTGGCAAGTCTGAAGAGTTGTTAAAAAAGTTACTTAAAGCAAATTTGAAATGTTCTTGTCTTAGCATCACGCCCAGATGAAAATAAATGTTTAGTTAATCATCACGAGAGCTTCCCCTTTTGTAACACTTCTCTACGGCCATGTATGAAAAGTTCACTGATTGCCAACCTAACTTTAGCGCACTAATAGACTTTGACAACCGCTCCACCAGCTAAATCAAATTATTCCGACTCGACAAATCTTGACGTGAGCTCCAAGTTTCAGTCAAATATGACAGTCACTCAAGAGGTCCCTATGGTAGGATGTTGACAAATGAACTCTCTACAATTGTCACGTCATTTATGCTCATTTATTCTTCGTCAACAAACCTGGCTTCATTCGTGCAAATTAATATTCTATTCCCCCTCCCCTCTCACCATCCATTTATTCCCCACTCCCCTCTCATCACCTATTTATTCCTCTCTCCTCTCCCGTTTATTCCTCCCTACCCTCCAGATAATTACCCCCCTTGCCAATCTTCCCTAATTCTAGTTTTCCCCGCCTCTCACATGTTTATTATTTAAGCGCTGTATTCCATAAACTGACTGAGATAGGCTGACATAGCAAGAAATTAATTTGTATGTTGTCTTTTCAATAGATATGTTATAAATACCAAACCGCTGAGCTGTAGAATAAGTATATTCTCATAGAATATATCCTAACCCTAGACTGACTCTAAACTCAACCAATCCATAACCATAACATTAGCTTACGATTAGCGTTAAGTGTAATGTTAGAGTTATGCTACAATGTACTGTACACAGGGGAAAGGTAATGTCCTACTCACGTTTTTTAGGCGGGTTGTTATTTACATAAGTTTACGAGACAGTGGTTGATTGAGCATGTGGAATGTGCGGGAAGACGGAATGCCAGGGGGAGGGGGAAGTAGAATGTCTCCTCCCCCCTACCTACACACCAAACCACAGTTTGTGAGCTGTTTAATTCCATTATTGGAATAACATCATAGTGGAGAAAGCCGTTTTAGCTTCATTAGGAACAAATTACTTAACATTTTGGTTAAAAAATTTGTTTGAAACTTGAGTCAATGTATTTAATGCATCTATTTAAGTTACAGAATAATGGAATAATAATAAGCTAAATAAACAAAATTCATAAAACAGTTTTAACATAATGTGTTTGTGTTATTGTCTCGATACCGTGTAGAACTAACGCAGTAGACCCAGTGTTGTCAAATGTTATGGGTGGCTTAATATTGCTTGTAATTGAAACAAGCTGACGGTAGAGTTGTCTTTAAATTTATTGTAACGATCTATGTACTGGTAGGATGACAGGATAAATACAGATCTACTGACTTGTACGTCTCAAAAACAAGTCATTGAAATTAGATGATAAATTTTATTCATTACCTAGTGGTACTTTATCGGAATCGTGTTGATTTAATTATTAATTACGAGCCGGCCCGCGGCATATCATACGCCGCTATTTAGTTGTTGTTTTTTCTACTTTTCAGTTATTCGTAATTTGTGAATTCGACAGTACTAATGCTGCCACTGAAAATATTTGCTTTAAAACACTATCAGTAGGTCGTTAAGAACGATACTACCCTCACCCTCCTTTCCCCCAACCCCAACCCTACCCCCCCCCCTAAGTTTAAAATTGTTTCAAACTAAATTATCTGCCCCTAATAGCCGTCACTAAACCCGGCTCTACGAATGTAAACATTTAGCGTCTCCCAGAAGAGAGTTATATATATATATTATATATATATATATATATATATATATATATATATATATATATATATATATATATATATATATATATATATATAATTCTCTTCTGGGAGATGTTAGAAAACAAGCTGTAAGCGCGCTCCCTACCACCCCACCCGTACATGGTCTGGTGAGCTTTGGTTCACGCTAAATGTTAGAGCCGGGTTAAGTGACGGCTATTACGAGAAGATAATTTAGTTTGAAACGATTTTAAACGTAGGGGAGGGGGGGGGGGTAACTAAGTGGAGTTTACTTTAACGGAGGGGGGGGGGGAGGGGGGGTTATCGTCCTTAACGAGCTACTTATAATGTTTTAAAGAAATATTTTCCGTAGCAGCGTCCGTTCTGTCGAATTCACAATTTATGAATTACTGAAAAGTAGAAAAAAACAACAACTAAATAGCGGCGTATGATATGTCGCGGGTCGGCTCGTATAGATTATTTTACAGTACACGTTTATAGTCAAAGGGAACTAACAATGAAAAGAATTTGCAAATACTTTCGGACGCAGTTATCTCCTTTGAGTTGTCTTCAAATTCGAATTATTTGTATTTGAAATTTTACAATCCGACGATCTTACATTCTGACAATAATCTTCATTTCTAGCCATGTGAACTTTAAACTAAATTGAGAAATGGCGAAATCAGGTCGAAATAGACCACAGCGTATGATCTTTCAATCATAATGGCAAGACTTAGCTAGGCATTGTATACAATGCTAAACTCGTAAACCAAGGTGTTTGGTATCATTATATTATGTACTTAACGTAACTGTCCTCTGTTTAAGTCTAGGTCTATTGTCTGTTTACTCGATGCATGAAAATACTGATTATCAGCATATTTTAATATACTGATACTATAGTAACTATATTTTTTAATAAAGTAACTAAGATGCGATATTTCTTTGAAAAGTCTCAGCTACAAACTTGACTGCCGACATTAAGTCTCAGCTACAAACTTGACTGCCGACATTAAGTCTCAGCTACAAACTTGACTGCCGACATTCTCAGCTACAAACTTGAGTGCCGACATTAAGTCTCAGCTACAAACTTGACTGCCGACATTAAGTCTCTGACTGCCGACATTAAGTCTCAGCTACAAACTTGACTGAAAACATTTAGTCTTAGCTACAAAATTGACGGGAGATATTTACTCTCAGCTACAAACTTGACTGCCGACATTAAGTACAAACATGACTGCCGATATTAGATCTCAGCTAAAAACTTGACTGAAAACATTTAGTCTTAGCTACAAACTTGACTGCCGACATTAAGTCTCAGCTACAAACTTGACTGCCGACATTAAGTCTCAGCTACAAACTTGACTGCCGACATTAAGTCTCAGCTACAAACTTGACTGCCGACATTAAGTCTCTGACTGCCGACATTAAGTCTCAGCTACAAACTTGACTGCCGACATTAAGTCTCACCGACAAACATGACTGCCGTCATTAAGTCTCAGCTACAAACTTGACTGCCAACATTAAGTCTCAGTTACAAACCTGACTGCCGACATTAAGTCTCACCGACAAACTTGACTACCGACATTTCTCGTCACTACCATCGTGTTTTGTTTATCATCAACACAAAACATTAAGATTATCAACGATAACAAAATGAATGAAAGAAACTTTGAAATGTTTTAAAACTTTATTGACATCCATACAAACAGTTTTATAAACAAATACAAACAGTTTGTAAACAAATACAAACAGTTTGTAAACAAATACAAACAGTTTGTAAACAAATACAAACAGTTTGTAAACAAATATAAACATGAATTAAAGTATAAATAAAGACAATGATGGCGATGACAAATCTAATGTGGAGGTTTAAACAAAACAAAGATACAAGTGTAGCCTATAAATATTTCATTTCTCAACAATAAACATTTGTTTATAATTTTGTTTATGTGTCTAACAACTCTAAACAAATGACTGAAAGAAACCAAACAATTTATTTCTTGTCTTCAACAGAATACAAAGTTGCTGATGAAGACATTCAAGTCTTGACACACACAAGTTTAATGGAGGGAGCCGCCATTTTGTTTGTTTACATTAGACAAAGGGAGAGAACCAACAGTTACAGATGGATCAAGAGAACACATTCTCCCCACTATAATTTCCTACAGAGTTTGATCCACTGTGGGGATGTGACCTACCGCCATATTCCGGCCTGTAGACAAGTGCTCCACTGGAGCCAGGACATGTACATGTTGTGTACGTGTACTTGTACGAAAGTCCCCTCCAATGTTCGCGTGTCCATTGTCCTACAGAGACCTGTTTAGGACAGCCATGAGGATGTGACACTATAACGGTCAACTTGTCCACATCAGCAAACCACTCGTATTTGTCCCTTACTTTCACACATAGATCCTTAAATTGCCGACACATCTTGTCCAGTTCATCAACCAACTCTAAGTCACATGACACACATGTAAACTCACACCAGTCTCCCTCAGTGTCTGCCTTCTCCACCCCCCAGCCATCAAGACTGACCCCAGGACTTTTATTGTCATCAAAACCTACAACACACCTGGTCTGTCTCGCCTCACTCTCATCAAACACCACGTGTGTGGCTGTCCTCACATAAACCTTCCCCCACACTTTGCTGGGTGTGTCCGAGTGTTGACACTTGCCACATGGACAAGTGCCCTTGTTGTCACTCTCTGTGTACTTGAACACAAGCCACACCCTCCCCGTCCCTGTCCTCAACACGTCACTTCCTCTGATGTTATAAAATGGATACTGACCACTGAAGCATGGAACAGACTTTGGTCTCTCTAGACTGGTGTACTTGACCTTTATCAGGACCGTTATGGCAGACAAAGCTTTGATTACCTCCAACATGATGACGTCACGCCAACGTGAGGGGAGATGATCCAAGTTAAAATCATTAATAGGTATAAAGTTGACATGACCTGGATTCTTCTTACAGCCGGTATAATGCTTGTGTAAGTCAGCTTCACCTCCATAGCAGATCTCACATTCATGATGTCCTGGGGAGACACAAGGGGAGAGAGAATTGAGATAAAGGGTAAAATTTAATAATTCTATACATCTATATTTTTTTCAGAGACAGCCTACACAGAATATTTTTAAATGATATTTACAGAAATAGCTAAAATATTTTAGCTAATATTATTATCTACTTAAATGTACTCATAATGACAATCAAAATGTATATGACATTAATAAATACAAAAAATATTATAACAATATTACCAGGTTAAAAGAACACATAATTTACACAGTGAATGTTTACATTAAACATTGTAATTAACATGTTAGTTGTTTACCTGGGACAAAGCCAGATTTTCTCTGTATTGTATCCATTTTAAGATCTTTTACAGTTGCTATTTTTCTGAGAAAAAAATAATTAATTATAGACTTAAGAATTTCCCAGCTGTAAATGGTAAAACATTTCTACAAATTAGAGTTGTAGCAGTTTATTTATATTAGTATGTTATACTTTTCTGCTTTTATTATTATATGTATTATACCTAGAAGATTGTTTTAAATGAAATTGACACAATAAATAAACTGTTTTTGCTGCAAATACACAACATAATCATGCTGTTGTAACCTGATTATCAAGATGCTGATAATGCAAGTTTATTAGTCTATGCGGGCAAATACCATTTCACATGATCTATTCATTTTTACCTTTGTTAAGCTACAAATAATATTGTTTATCATTACCTCAGCATCAAATATTCTTTCAGTCTGTTGTCTCGATGTGTAAACATTCTGCAAAACACAAGTACAGAAATATATAAATGTAAGCCTTTACATAATTTTATTTAGTTCAACAATAACCAAAACTTAATTCCTATAAAATTATTTGTAAGTTATTTTCAATATTTGATAGTTTGTACTGTCATATGTGGTGTGGCTGAATGTAGATATTATGAGTGGGTTAAAATATTCCACTAGTAATATATATATATATATATATATATATATATATATATATATATATATATATATATATAATATATATATATATATATATATATATATATATATATATATATATATATATATATATATATATATTGAGAAACACACAAATGAAAACTCACCAATAGTCATTTAGAAGTGTGGGTTGAATTTAACAACCTTCTTTACATGATGTCCGATGTCATCAGAGCCTGTGTAACATACGTCAATTATTTGGTTGTGTGCTCATATACTTCTATTTACTTTTCTGATGTGAAGAGGACTAGCCTAAAATGAATAACAATAGTTAAGGCTGGCATATTTTGAAATTATATCAAGTTACAATTTCATAATGCATACACATTTTAAATACTTCTTTCCACTTTATAAGTTGAATACATCAAATACCGCTGTCAAGCAAAAACAAATGTGAGACAATTTTTTTTACAACATCAGCGCACATACATCTTAAGAACAATATTGATGAAGTTGTATGTCTAATCAGTGTGAACTAGTGATGATAAATTTGAAATGAATAAAGGGATATTATTAGTTCAATGTACTTTACGCATATATTTTTTATTTTTACGTGGCAGCAGCATTTCTCTAATAGACAAATACATAATTTTAGAAGTATTAAAAGGCCTTATCAGTAGTACAGAATTTCATATATTGGTTAAATAGTTTGGTACTTTAATGAAGATCTGTAGCTAGTGACAAACAAATAACTAAGATTAAGGTTACACTAATTATCATCTCATATGAGATAAACAATGATATTTTATTCAGTCAAGTACTAATGAGTTTGAATACTGTTTACAACTATAAGAAATTAAATATTTGTATATAGGCCAGAGTGTGATATAGTGGGGAGAGTGTGATATAGAGGGGAGAGTATGATATAGTGGAGAGAGTATGATATAGAGGAGAGAATGTGATATAGTGGGGAGAGTGTTATATATGTGACAAGGAGCTAAACCGAAAAGTCTCGAGTTCGAACCTGGGGACAGCCACTCTACTAGGAGAGACAACTCCAAAATCAAACAACTGCTGCCTTATAGTTTGTTCTTGGTTGGACAAAGTATATGGAAGCAAATCCAACACTATACATAAGAACGAAGAAGAAGAAGAAGAAACCCTTGGGTGGATCCCTTTTTAAACTTTAGTAAATTTATTCAGTACATAATATTGTGACCCACGCTTTTTTTTAGTTATTTAAATAGTGGTTCATTATAGAGCTATATATTTAAAGAGAATATATTTAATTAAAAATGTTAACGTAATAGAATTGTATGAATAAAAAAAATGGAACCCTAATGAACAAACGAATTTTCTTAATGGCGTGGAAAAAAATCTCCGTTTTCATTTATTAAGATGTAATAAGTTCATAAAAATTTAATGAAGTACCCAATAAAGTCAAATTTTATGTCACAAAGTATTGTCATCGGGTCTTGACCTACGTGAAATAAATGGTCTGGTCTAAAAATCCGCTCGCCAGTTTCGACCAATGGCTGACGAAGCATTTACGAAGAAGTAAACAAAATTTAAAGCTTGTAAATAAATGAACTACACACGAGTTTTCAGTGGCTGGTTGTCGACCACCAAACAGTGGCTTAGTGTAACACATATGGTTACCAGCCAAAGGGGGATAAAACTATGAAGTTTTTATTCATTGGGTTGCGGCCCCTGTGGGACCGTAACTGAACTGTTAACGTTGTTTTTTTATGCTTTTGTGAGCGAAATTACCTGTGTTCCATGTCATGTGACATGGGATTGTGGGTAGTTTCATGCCTAGCCGTGTCGCACACGCAAGGCTGCTGTCTGTGGACCAAGATGTAGACCTAATGAATGTATTTATATAAATTATGTTTGTTAAAATACTTATTTGTGTATTCCTGCTAGTGCTGCATGTGCACACTAGTTAGGGTGAGTATTAATATAAGTATTTATTTGTAGTACTACGTATTGGTACTTGTTGGCAGTACTGTGTACTGGCCGAAACATATTTTATTGTTACCCGTGTATATTGTAGCCTACACATGGTGTTGTCAGGAATGTAACTTTTTTTATTTACATTTGTTTTAGGGCTACAGTTTCTCTTTTGGTCTTTTGGTTTTTGGATCATTTGGTTTATCTTGGCTAGTTTGTTTTGTACTACTGTGTTGCATCGCCGTCATGGCTCGATGCTGTAAATAAAGCGAGTACTTGACAACAACTGTCGGTGTCTTCTTAATCTCAGGGTCAGCCCGTCTTAACCACAACACCTCAGTGGGTAAAAGCATCCCCACTGAGTGAGGGTTACATTAGCTAGGATTTTTGGGCCCCTATGCAAAAAGCATCAGTGGACCCCCTTCGCCAGCTGTTAGTTCACGGAGTAGTTAAACATGGGTAGCGAATAAATTGACTAATATTTACGAGGGCGGGATTTTTAATTACATAAATACTCAGTACGTTTTATATTTTGTACGCCCGAATTGTGTATTTATACTGTATTATTATAAAGTAACACGTAACGTAAAATATATTTGATTTTAAATCACTTTAATGTAAAACAAACAAGTTAACTGTTAGCCTCTAACATATAAGTAATGAAACAGAGTAGCGTCACAAGGCAGGGGTAAATGTGTGGTTCGCATCGGGTGCCGCCATTTAGGCATGACACCATGACGGAGAATTATCGATATTTACTGTTAAAACTGTGTTTTACCATGTGAAGTACACACTGTTGATGTGATCTAGTTCTACGTACCAGGCTGACTGTACATCTTATTAGGGTTTCATTAACGCTTTACTAAATGTGTTTTTTAGACGTGTGAACTATTTTTTCTAAAGCTGATAATTAAAATGTGCTATATTTTTCAGATCTTTGTTGCTGGGGCGCGGGTATGTCCACATTACCGCCTCATACGCCCTAGGGGGTCATCCATTTATGACGTCCACGGGGGGGGGGGGGGGTCCGAAAAAAACTGACTTTTGTGGACGCATATGGACGTTTATAAGGAGAAAAAGTGGATTTTTGTGGACGGGGGGGGGGGGGGGGGGGTGTCCAAAATCCAAAAAAATTGTGGACGTCATAAATGGATGACCCCTAGGGATTTCTGTATGAAAGTCTTGAGTGAACGTTAATAACCCTCCGTAATTTTGTGGTTGAACACCTCTCGGCGAACGCCCAGGTGTATGGGGCGTCTCGGGGGTAACCGGTTACACTACCGCAGGTAACAGGTTGCAACCACTGGTCAGATTTAACCATCAAATGTAGAGGCCCACTATGTCCCTAGTGTAGGGTGCTCATGTGCTTGGTGTCATCCATCCACCGGGGGCGCCTGAGGTAGCAGCTGTTTCAATTTGACTGTTAAATCAAGGAATACCCCATGATTTTACAAGACACCCAACCAACGGGCCCATGCACTCAAGTAGCCTCTGGCTAACTCGGGGTGCCCAACCGTTCACTAATGCCTTATTGGATTTTGTTTTCGATTTTAGTAGCTCGATATATCCCAAATGTAAGGCGCTCGATTGCGGGCTGATGCGCCTGTGCAGTTTGGCGGTTGAACAAAGTAGTATCTCTAATCCCGCTGTGCATGACGCCCAATCAACGGACCAAGGTGCTAAGATAACCGCGGTGAAACGCTTGGTGGCAAAACTAACTGCCCTATACTGCCGGGGCGCCGCCCTCCGAAATAAAAATTAAAAAAAAAAGAAAAACCTTTCCTCGAAACAGAGTTTCTTTCAGGCATCTGTTGAAAAAAATATCTAGAAAAAATGCCCGGAGTATTCCCAAAGTTTCATGGCCATTGAATGTATTATCTATGGATGCATAAAGAACAGACAGACAGAGAAACACAAATTGTATTGTGTTTGTAGCGCCATATTAATTAAAGATAAAATAGATTCAGGGCTATTGTTGTTACGTTATGTAGGCTATGGTTAGATATTGTTACGTCCCTTGTATCTGTGTCTTGGTAGGTGACTGGAGAAAAGCACAACCGAAAAATACGCCAAAAAATGCGCAACAGTAATTGGGTAGTTGTACAACAGGGATGTCCAATATTTTGACGGCTACAAGCCACATACAAAGTAGTTTACGTCAACAGGATGTCCAATATTTTGACGGCTAAAAGCCACATACAAAGTAGATAACAAAGTGTGAAGACGTGTATAAATATATACACATATTTGTGCGATCTATTTTGTTCCATATAATGTAAAAAGGTAAAAGTTTAGTGATAAATCGATTAGATAACTTAAAACAAATCGCAGCTGCAAGTTAACAGATCTACAATTTGACAATTATTTGTATTTGTGTTTAAACAAAGTTGCCGATGAAGACATTCAATTTTCGACACATATGTTAATTAAACAGAGCTGTCAATGTTTTGTTCACTGTGTGTAGAGGTTTTTTTTTTCGGCAATTTCAAATGAGACCTCAGACACTGTGTTGTCGTGGTAAAAACTTCCTGTTCGATCAAGTCTCTGACATTTGCAACAAGCTTCATGGCGACGAAAGAACTACATATCTTTTTGGTGTGTTCCGAATGACTCGTCTCAAAATGAAGTTTCTGTTTTGAATGCTTCATACTCATGACTGAGAATAACTTAGCACAGCGCACATTGTTTCATCTCTATTCCAGTTACAGTGAGGTTGGTAAAGCCGAAGTTCACATATTCTTCTAAATCTATTTGGTTTGTTTTTCATTGTTGGAGTTTAGTCTACCGGTTGGTGATTTCCCCCCCCCTCCCCCTCCCCCTCCCCCACAAAACCCACTGGGGACACGACCCACACTTTGGTAACCAATGCTCTTTAACATTCATATTTTTAATGTCTTCTGCTTAATACGATTTTTGGTCAAAGGGAAAGAACAATGAAATTAATCGGCAAGTTATTTCTGATACAGTTGCCTCCTTCAAGTTTCCGATGTTTACAGCCATAAATTCTCGGTATTTTAAAATTCTAGTCATGTGACATTTAAAGTTCTTTGAGCATTGGCGAAAAACACCTAAATGAATACTTTTTCAATCGCATTGGTATGTCTTAGCTAGGACTTCTACACAATACTAAACAGCAAGACCAATGAAGTTAGGTATCATTATTTCTAGTTAACTAATCTTTTTTTAAGGACTAATGTCGCGCATTGAAAAAAAAATATAATTACCTTAATATTTTTAAAAAATCGTTTTTAAAATATTGTAAGATGCAATATGTCATATCAATATTTCAGCTATAGACTTGGTTTCCATTGCTAAGTCTCAGCTACAAACTTGATTGCCGACATTAAGTCAAGTCTCAGCTACATACTAGACTGCAGACATTAAGTACAAACTTGACTGCCGACATTAAGTC